GGGGGGGGGGGGGGGGGGGGGGGGGAGGGAGCACTGATGCTTTGTGCGCTACAGTGAAAGTGTTTCAGATTGGTTTCTGATTTCTTCTGTCCGAATGCCGGTGGTGTGGAGACGCACATGTACTTCCTGGCGCAGTGCTTGTTGCAGTTTGGTCATAAAGTGATCGTTATCACACATGCTTACGAGAGACGTCACGGCATTCGTTACTTGGCAAACGGGCGACTTAAGGCGAAGCCTTTTCCACTCATTTCGGCATAAATTCCTTCTCGAGCACCTGGTAAATGCAAGTGAGTTGCAGGTTTACTATCTTCCATTCCTGGTGATGTACAACGGAAGCTCAGTTCCTTCAATCCTCGGTTCGCTGTATTGGTTTCGCAAAATATTTCTGATGGAGCGCGTACAGCTTGTGCATGGCCATTCTGTGAGTGTTCCGCTGCCCAAGAAAAAATTACTTTGCAAGAGCTTGGCTTAACACATTTTCTTATATTTTGCATCTATACAATGTAAAAACGCATAGGGTTATCTGTGTGTTTGTGTGTGCGTGTGTGTATGTATCTGTACTGAGTTTTCGTTTCGAGAATGAACGGACGTCTGTTCTCAAAAGGAACGCTCACGTCTACCTGGTCACATACGGCTACGTGAAAGTTTTTTGACAGGAACTCGGTTTCGGGAACTATGCAGGCTAAGAGGCTGAAACTTCACGAAGATATTCCTTGTCCACCTCCAGCCCAAAGACTTTAAATTCAGCCTTCACGCATTCCGAAGTCGTACGTACATACACGTCAAGGTTTAAATTGGTGTTTTGCCAACTCGAGAATTAAGTTGGTCCTTTAGCTGTAGAGAGCTGTAATTTAGCAGTTTTGCTTATCACCCACTGATGTGCCGGGAAAAGTAAATTAAGCTTTCTGGCTCTACGCGGACGGGTGAAATTTTGACGTAAACGGTTTTATAACTTCATAGAAGAAGCTAGAAGGCCGAAGCTTTCTGAGCGTGGCCGACTCCGACGTTTGGCTAGATTGGCATGGAAAAAACTTTCACATTCCTTTCATGTCTCACGTACACTTTACTTATGGACATGTAAAATTTGACGTAACTCTTCAATCGAAGCACCTAGAATGTTGGATTTTCTGAGCACGGATTAGAAGTCACCATAATAATTTCTGACATTCATGGTGGCCAGTCTCAATTCTTTAACTAGAAGCATCTGCTGGAAAAAACTGTGCTGCTAGCGACATCGGAGAAGGAAGTCACGTAGGTATACGGAATTCACGTAAGTAGTTGTGTAAGTCAACACCTGGCGGTATCTTTGCAGCTTCCGGTTTCAATGCTCATGCCTTCGTTTTCTCTGTCCACACTGTCATTACTGCACATATTCACTTTGGTGCTCCAGTTGGGGGCTGCCTTGTCTCGCTGTTGATGCATGGATTTGCAGACGTTTTCGACGATGGCGCACGAGGCGATGATCCATGCCTGGTGCCTGGGTCTGCGTACAACTTTCACCGATCATTCGCTGTTCGGTTTCGCTGATGCGTCGGCAATTCTCACGAACCGATTGGTGCTGCAGTATTCGCTGGTGAACGTAGACAGAGTGATCTGTGTTTCCTATACAAGGTGCGCAGTGGCATCTTTCTTCGTCGAATTAATAATTGCTGGGTTGGAAGCAAAATCAGTTGGCAGTGGCTGAGAGGTGGTGAGGTGCACTTCGTTGCTGTAACGGCGCAGTCGATTCGCTTTTTCTTTCAGCAAGGAGAACACAGTGCTGCGCAGTGGCGTTCCAGCGGGCAAGGTTGCTGTCATTCCAAATGCCATTGACAGTGACCTGTTCGTGCCCGATCGCTTTCTCTTCTACAATAATCCCACAACAATAATTGTTCTTTCAAGACTGGTCTATCGCAAGGCAAGTTTGTTCGTTCTAACATTCTGCTTCATTTTGTTACCGGCGGTAATCCTTCACTGAATAAACACTGGCGCGCACCAGAAAAGCTGCCACAATTATGCGTTTTATACAGTTTTATCTATTTAGCGTTTACTGTTAAAAATATTCACTGCTTTGCATGTTCAGAGTTCGACGGAATGTTCTGTTCGGCCAAAACTCACGTTTTTCTGCATGTGAGTTCGAAATATGCATGGGAGCTGTATTTAAAATTTCCAAAATTACACATGAATAGGAAAAATCCTTTTGAAATTTCGACTTCCCGCCTTTTCTGGTTCCAGGGTTGGGAAATCTCAAACCTCATGTCTTCATACACTTACGTAAAATTTCAGCTTCCTAACCCGTATACTTTATAAATTAGTGATTTTTGCGCCGAAACTTTCACGTGACGGTGCGAGAGACCTAAGTGTATGTGAAAGCTCATTTTGAAATCGCTAGATCGCACATTTTCAAGGGACATCCCCCTAAAATTCCAGCTTAATAGCCTTTGTGGTTTTTGAGTTTACAATTTTCGCTCCAAAATTCTGAAGTGGCAGTGCTTGAGATATAATCGTGCATACAGCATATTTGAGCTTGTGGGATGTACATGGGCAGGGAGTATTCTCCTAAAATTTCAACTTTCTAGCTTTTCTGGTTTCCGTGCCGAAACTTTTACTTGTTCGCAAGTGAGACTTTTGAGTACGCGGGGGGCTGAATTTAAGCTTGCTAGGTCACACGTAAGTAGGAGGCAACCCCCCCCCCCCC